CATGGCTAACTCACAGATAGAACCCTGAAACAACCTCTGGGCTGATCGAATTGGAATTAAGCGTTGATAAGATACGGATAATCGAGAAATTATTTCTGATGAGTTGTTTTTATGGTTGATATCTGTTGCGCATGCTAAACATTTCAGGTTGTTCGAGGGCTGTTCCATAGATTTGATGTGGTCCAAATACCGAAGGAAAGGAGTGTGGTGGAATTATTGCAAAAAGGTCATGGTGGATGGAATGATAGAATGAAACTTGTAAGTATGATAGTGGTGATCCAGCGAGGATATTGCTTTTAGGTGGGTTGGGGAAGGCGTATGTATGTTATCTCTGTTCTTCTCATAAGTCCAAAGGGGAACGCTAGCCTTCATCCCCTCCTTTGATTGTCCTAGCTACCAGCGGCTAAAGCGGCTAAAAAAATAGGGTTTTTCTTGCTCCACTACTGGCAGTGTAGCAAATGAGGCCTTGAAACCAAAAGCTAATCAGAGACGCAAAGCATTAAGGAAAAAAAGTCCTTTTTTCACGAGGGTAGCACTTAATAGCCAGTGGCTACCAAACCTGTGGCCCTCATTCCATGATCGAATTGGAATTTAGGAGTTGATTTTTGTGGAGGGAGGAAAACCGGAAAACCCGGAAAACCTTCAAAGCACAGGAGAGAACCAACAAACAACTCTACTCATATACTACATCGAACGCGGCGGGACTCGAGCTCGGGTAGCATTGATGAGAGGCGAGCGCTCACACGGCTACGCCACCCGTGCTTCCCAAATGATAAGGGATTTCATATAGTCAAAATAGAGCTAAATAGCCAATGAAATTGTTTGGTTATCAACCGTACGTGTTATGGTTAATATTCCAGTGCCTAGGGATCAAAGGAATGGTGAACAAAGTGGACAAAGATGGAGATGTGTTTGTGGAGTGTATTAACGGTGATGAGTAAGTAAAATGAAGTTGCCGTTGATAAACACGGAGAAGGTACTCGTGCAGTGATGAAACGTTTTGCCAAATATTCAGTGTCTGCCGATGACAAGTACAGCTATTTACGATAAGGTATATACGTTTTATGGTCAGTTCTATTCTCAAATCGTGTGAATTTGAACTTTGCAGTTGGACTTTTAACCCCGAATTGCTGATCAAGGTGGAGCCCGATCCCAATGTCAAGAAAGAAGCTGGAGATTTTGTGTTAGTAATGGACGATGTGGAGAACGTGAAGCAGCTTCAAGTCAATCATGGTGGATGGGTGAAAGGCATGGAAAAGGTAAACGCTGATTAATTAATACAGGTTCAATCGATTGATTGAAAATTCTAAAAGTATTGCATGGAAACGTTGTCATTTGCAGTGCTGTGGCCATACTGGGATCATCAAGGCTGTTCTACCGAATGCACGTTTGAGGATTGAAGTGGCTCATAACACATGGATCTTTAATGAAAAGGCTATCAAACTAGTAGCCAAGGGAGGTAAGAACTGATTAATTTGGGTGGATAACAGTCCCCTTCACAGTTCCCTGCGCCATCTTGAAAGGTAGCCGTGCCTTTGCATCGAAGCGAGACGAACGGTGAGCTGGCAATGATAGACATGTGAATAATTGTCTAAGGTGTTAAAAAAGGTCTCTATCATTGCAAGCTCACCGTTCGTCTCGCTTCGATGCAAAGGCACGGYTACCTTTCAAGATGGCGCAGGGAACTGTGAAGGGGACTATTGGATGGATGGGAATGGGTGGATGAATGTAAGGGCGAAGAGTGTAGATGATTGGAATAATATGGGTGATCGGACAATATTGATTGATGGACAGCATGAATGGATAGTTAGGTAAATGGATGAATGGAAGGATAGATAGATAGGTGGTATGGATGTAGATATGATACAAAACTGCAAACAATTTAACCGTGAAACTTTAGTAATACTAAATAGCACAATGTCATGCAAATTCCATTGTTTTCTATTGTTTAATTAGCACTATTTAGTAATTAGTGTTTCACGGATTAATTGTTTGCACTCTAGAGGGAAGGCATTTAACCCATGAAATAAAAAATACTAGTCAACGTGTAATACTCAAATAGACACAAACGAAAACAATGAAATTAGGGTCTACTAAAGTGTATTAATCAAATATCTATTTCACGGGTTTAATGACTTCACTCTATTGTTTGCAATCTAGTATATATGCATTCATAGATTGGGCAGTATGAATAGTCAGGACAATATGGATGGATGGGACAGTATGGATGGATGGAGCAGTATGGATGGAAGAGACAGTATGGATGGAAGAGACAGTATGGAAGGATGAGACAGTATGAATAGACTAGACAATGTGGATGGATGGGACAGTATGGATGAATGGGACAGTATGGATTGTCCTGCAGATAATACCCAGTGAGGTGCTTTATGAGGCAAAACATTCAGGTCTTTAAAAAAAAAATTTTTTTTTTACGTTGCAGAGGAAATGTTGGAAGCGATTTTGAGAAGAAAATTGAAACTCTGAACAGGTTSTTCAGGAAAAAGGAATGATGAGGAATGATGATTTGACCAACCTACTCCACTTAGTACGTTGTTCTGAGATTTTTACTCTAAATCTGAGATCGAATTAGAATTTCGATTTGTAGATTTTAACATGGYGAGTGTGAGCAAATTTATGCCTGCTCATCGATAACTGGGGATTCTAGTCCAATTATTTATTTTTCTTTTACCAATACATAGGAATCAGAACATTTGAATATATTTTGGGTACTTTTCTCACCTAAATTGCATTCACCCCATCCTTTATACATTTTCATATTATCAATATGATATTTCGGCATTGTTCAAATATGGCCGGCTTGGATTGAGTTAAAC